TGTAGTACGCCATGCGCCTAGGCCCGCCTTTGCGGCGCCTTTGGCCGCCTTTTAGAACACTGCTTAAAAGGTAAAGTGAAAAAGTTAATGAAATCGCTAAAAAGAAAGTCGGCAAAGTTTTAACAGACGGAGGAAGTACAAAAATAGTATTAAATTTGGGAGTACAAAAATAGTACTCCGTATTAAATTTAAATGTTTCCAAAAAAGAGACATATGACTTTTATACTCTTTCAATTATAATTGAAAGAATGATGAGACTAAGAGTTCGGGCTTATGGGTGGACAAATATAACACTAATTTCTATACGGACTAATACATGATTAAAACTCAGTTAAAATGTCTCAAATACCCTCCCACCAGTTTAGCTAATACTCTGTGTGAAGTACTTCGTACCTGCTTTCTTCCCCAATACACAACACACACAAATTTTCCTCTTTCGTGTGAGTTTCTTCTTCGACCAAATTTTTAAATCATCCGATTTTTCTTCAAGCGAGTTTCTTCTCTTCTTCATGCAGAAATGGGAAGCTTTTCGAACCACGAGATTTTTCTCCATGATATGGACGAGTTCTTTTCTTCTTCACACGGAAGCGACGAAGCTTTTCTTCGACCTGTAGTGCTGAACTGTTCTTCGAAAAACATACATCTGACTTCGACGAAGATGATGGTAGCTCGATCTACAAATAACCCAGATCGATGGGCTCATTCATTTTTTATGTATACTTTAGGGCGGGGGTGGCAGTGGGGCAGGTGCGGCCAGGGTATGGTGTTGCAATGCGATTGTGTAGGGTCTAGGATCTGAGGGGCGTGGGTTGTGGGATGGGGGGCTGGAATCTTGGGAGGGGCTAGGGAGGCTAACTGTTGGGGGCATTCACCGTCGGGGCGCAGGGACAGTCACCGTCGAGACTGTAACACCCCGGCCCCGTAGGACCCGAAGTAGTTACTCTACACCTCTAGTATTGTTCTCACAAACCGCCACTAGCCTTTAACGCGCACTTTGTCCTCACTCATGCGCGCCCTGAGAAACTTCCCAGGGGGTCACCCATCCCAAGACTACTCCCGTGCGAGCACGCTTAACTTTGGAGTTCTTGGTTGATGAGCTCCCTTAAAAGGAGATGCATCTTGTTGGTATGAGTAGTACTATTAATCCTCTTAAATTAATCTCGGGTATTACAATCACCCCCACTTAGGAACGCAACGTCCTCGTTGCGCCCATAAACCAATCTCAATCATATCCCAGAATCTTTTCCCCTGCTAAATGCCCGCCCGACATCCAACGGATCAGCACACTGTCGCAGGGTTGCTCTGATACCACCTGTAACACCCCGGCCCCGTAGGACCCGAAGTAGTTACTCTAGACCTCTAGTACTGTCCTCACAAACCGCCACTAGCCTTTAACGCGCACTTTGTCCTCACTCATGCGTGCCCTGAGAAACTTCCCAGGGGGTCACCCATCCCAAGACTACTCCCGTGCGAGCACGCTTAACTTTGGAGTTCTTGGTTGATGAGCTCCCTTAAAAGGAGATGCATCTTGTTGGTATGAGTAGTACTATTAATCCTCTTAAATTAATCTCGGGTATTACAGAGACGGTGACGGAGCTCACCATCGTCACAACGATGTTCATTGGCATCATTTCGTGGCAGTGAGAGTCACCGAGTATACTCGGGCAACCTTCATCGGTGGCGGACCACCGATGCGGTAGTTCATCGAGAAAAATAGTTCACAAATCAGCGATGATGATAACTACGAGGGTGGTTAGTTGGTCACTAAGTGATAGTAACTGGAACGGTGATCACTACAGTAATAACTAGGACGACGGTCACTAGAGCGGTAGTAATTGGGATGATGGTCACTGGAGCGGTAACTGGAAGTAATTGGAACAGTGGTCACTGGAGCGGTGGTAACTGAGATACTGGTCATTAGAGCGATAGTCACTGGGACGATGTGGTGGTGGTCAACGAAATGGTAGTAACTAGAACGATGATCATTGGAGCGGTAGTAACTCGAAGGGTGGTCACCGGAGCGATAGTAACTGGGACGATGCTCACGGGAGCGATAGTAACTGGGACGATGGTCAATGGAGCGGTAGTATTTAGGACGGTGGTCAATGGAACAGTAGTAACTGAGACGGTGGTCACTAGAGTGGTTAACTGGGACGGTGATCACTAAAGCGATATTAACTGTGACAATTGTCACTCAAGCGGTGGTAACTAGAATGATAATCACTAAACCAATGGTCACTATTAATTAGTGCGCTCCAACAATTTAGAGCGCGCTCCAACTTCTTAGAGCGCGCTCCTACTCCTTAGAGCGCGCTCCAACTTGTTAAGCGCGCTCCAACTTGTTAGAGCGCGCTGCAACTTTTTAGAGTGCGCTCCAACTTCTTAGAACGCGCTCCAACTTGTTAGGGCGTGCTCCAACTTGTTAGATAGCGCTCCAACTTGTTAGACTGCGCTCCAACTTGTTAGAGCGCCCCAACTTGTTAGAGCGCCCCAACTTGTTAGAGCAGCTCCAACTTGTTAGAGCGTGCTCCAACTTGTTAGAGTGCACTCTAACCTGTTCGAGCGCGCTCCAACTTCTTAGAGCGCGCTCCAACTTCGTAGAGCGCGCCCCAACTTGTTCGAGTGCACCCAAACTTGTTAGAGCACGCACCAACTTGTTAGTGCGCACTCCACCTTGTTCTGGCACGTTTCAACATCTTAGAGCGTGCTCCAACTGCTTAGAGTGAGCTCCTACTACTTAGAGCGTGCTCCAACTGCTTAGAGTGAGCTCCTACTACTTAGAGCGTGCTCCAACTACTTAGAGCGCTCCAATTGCTTAAAGTGCGCTCCAACTGCTTAGAGCGCGCTCCAACTGCTTAGAGCATGCTCCAACTGCTTAGAGCGCGCTCCGAATTGTTCGAATTCACTCCAACTTGTTAGAGCGCGCTCAAACTTGTTACATTGCGCTGCAACTTGTTAGAGCACGCTCCAACTTCTTAAAACACGCTCCAACTTGTTAGGGCGTGCTCCAACTTGTTAGATCACGCTCCAACTTCTTATAGTGCGCTCCAACTACTTAGAACGTGCTCCAACTACTTAGAACGTGCTCCAACTTGTTAGAGCGCGCTCCAACTTGTCAGAGCTCTCTTCAAGTGGTTAGAGCGCGCTCTGACTTGTTAGCGCGCTACAACTTCTTAGATCGCGATTCGACTTCTTAGAGCGCGCTCCAACTTCTTAGAACGTGCTCCAACTTGTTAGGGCGCGCTCCAACATGTTTAGAGTGAGCTCCAACTTTTTAGAGGGCGCTCCAACTTCTTAGAGCGCTTGAACTTGTTAGAGCGTGCTCCAACTTGTTAGAGCATGTTCCAACGTGTTAGAGCGTGCTCCAACCTCTTAGGGCGCGTTCTAACATCTTAGGACGTGCTCTAACTTCTTAGAGCACGCTCCAACTTGTTAGAGCACGCTCAAACGTATAATAGCGCGCTCCAACTTGTTAGAGCGCGCTCCAACGTGTTAGAGTGCGCTCCAACTAGTTAGGGCGCGCTACAACTTGTCATGACGTGTTCCAACTTGTTAGAGCACGCTCAAACGTATAATAGCGCGCTCCAACTTGTTAGAGCGCGCTCCAACGTGTTAGAGTGCGCTCCAACTAGTTAGGGCGCGCTACAACTTGTCAGGACGTGTTCCAACTTGTTAGGGCGCTCGAACTTGTTAGGTCCAACTTGTTAGAACCCTCCCCAACTTTTTCTAGCGCGCTCCAACTTTTTGAAGCGCGCTCCAACTTCTTGGAGTGCGCTCCAACTTGTTAGGGCGCGCTCCAACTTGTTAGGGCGCGCTCCAACTTGTTAGGGCGCGCTCCAATTTCTTAGAGCGCGCTCCAACTTCTTATAGCGCGATCGAACTTTTTAGAGCGCGATCCAACTATACAGAGCAGCTGGATCATTTTAGAGTGCGCTCCAAATTGAAACTCCCTAAAAGTTAAGTGATCCAAATTAATATCCCGATGAAGCAAAATTTAACAAAATATTTTTTAAAAAAATTATTAATATGATATCCATAATAAATAAAACATAGTCAATGTAGAATATGTGAATGATGTAGAATTCCACATATTGCATTTATTTAATCACAGAGGTAGTATGTTTTATAAGTTAACTTTGTAATGATAAATGCATGATTTTTTTTATCTATTCACAACTTCAAAAATATGTACACTATTAATATGGGTCCTGAAAAACGTCAACGGTGCATACATGATATGAGAGATAATCGATTAAAAAATAACAAATACTCCCTCCGTTCCAATTTGATTTGCAAAATTTCCTTTTTTGGTTGTCCCAAAATGATTTTCCACTTTCTATTTTAGGTATGTGAATAAGAATAAATTGACTATTTTACCCTTACTTTTACCTTTTCCCCATTAACTTAAAGACATCTACTTTTAGAAAGATGGGCAAAAATGTAAAAAGCAAGCATCATTTATTGTCATTCCTTAATCCTTGTGTCAGTCAAAGTTTGCAATTCAATTCGGGACGGAGAGAGTAAAATATATCTCTCCTTACTTGAACGTTGTTATGTGTTTTTGGTAATTTTTCTCTACAATGTCAAACACAATGTCTAGATATAGACATTGTGGTTGACATTGTTGAGAAAAACTTACCAAAAGTACATAAGACCGTGAAAAGAAGAATGAAAGAATTGTCATAAATTTAATCTTTTGTGTCTATCTCTCTCATGTCACATGCACACCGTGCACATTATAACAATAAATATGCTCTAAACTCGTAAAACGTACCACAATTTGTGGTGGAGTACACCACATTAATCTTATTTTTTATTTTTCCCCTTTATTGTTTAATCAAAATCATAAGAGAATAAAGATGTTTTCTTTTATACTGTTTTCAGTCCCGAATTAAACTTAAACAGACTAGATCAAATCAAATCAGACTTAAACAGATCATATCAAATCACACTTAAATAGACCAAATCAGACTTAAACATTCATAAAATACACAAGACCACGGAAGACTAAATGAGACATAAATAGACCCCGACAAACAAATTTCAATAGAAAACATCCTAAAACGGTATGCTCTCTTCAACGTCTGTGGATTGAGAAGCTTCCAGAAATGTTTAGAAACGAAACGGGTTGAAGCTCTTCGCGGTCTCGCGGACCTAGAGCCTGCTAGAAGAACTCATATCCCTTCTTCGGTTCTTCCAGATCCATCTGTTCCTTCAATAAAGATCTAACATCTCCGTCGCAATTCAGTAATCATAAAAACTTTTCCCTTCGAAAATTCTATCAAACATTCAAACGTGACTGCCGAAATTTTGACAAAATGGATCTCAGGATGATGGGCCTCGATCACCCGCTTCTCCACCACATAATGGAGTACGCCACCGCCGCCGACGACAAATCATCCCACAGAAACGCCCCTTCGAAGACATTCGTTCTCGACGCGAAGGCAATGGCTGCGACACCGGCGGACGTGAAGGAGTACCCGAACTCGTACGTCTTCATCATCGACATGCCGGGACTCAAGTCCGGTGACATCAAGGTACAGATCGAGAATGACAATGTCCTGACTATAAGCGGGGAGCGGAAGCGTGAGGCGGATGAGAAGGAGGGTGTGAAGTATTTGAGAATGGAGCGGCGGGTGGGCAAGTTCATGAGGAAGTTCGTGCTGCCGGAAAATGCGGATCTGGGGAAGGTATCCGCCGTTTGCCACGACGGAGTGCTGAGTGTGACTGTGGAGAAGGTGCCGCCGCCGGAGCCAAAGAAGCCAAGGAGCATTGAGGTCAAAGTTGCTTGAAATCAATATGTAGACCAGGCATAGTGCGAGCACTCTGTTTCCGTTGCAGGAACGGAGTATTTGATTCTGTTTCTTTCCTTTTTCAGATATGGTAATGGAATGTGATGTTGATGGTTTTTTTTTTTTGAAAGAAATCACATTAACTAAAATTAACAAGGTCATTGTCCAAAGATATAGCAATACAAGGAGGAGAAGAAAATTGCATTCTATTGTCGTCTACTAAAACTCCGTAAGCTGAATCATCTTCCTTGTTGTGATTGTAGTTTCTGCCTCACATGAGAAACTAATGTCGTTTCTCATTGGTTATGTGCATTATGCCACCCCTCCATTTATAGCTATTTTTTGCCATAAATTGTCGTTTCTGAAATTAGTAAAGATGCTCTCAATCCAGTCCATAAAAACCAGATCTGCTGCTACTGCAAAGCTCCATTTCATCATGCTCCATACCTGCTGCGCTACAGGGCAGAACCTGAATGTATGCAACAAGTTCTCCTCCCCCAAAGAACATCCCACCCGCTTAGCCGCTAAACTGTTAGCTGTAGGTAGGCAGCCTGCACACACTTGCCAAAAGAAGATTTTTACCTTTGAGGGATGTTAAGTTTCCGCACTTTAGTCCCACCCAAAGCTTTGATCATACTCAGCCACTCCTTATAATTTTTTTTATCATCAAAACGAATAACTTTAATTAATATAACAACAATCAGATAGGGGATAAAACAACAAACGGATCACGGGTAACTGTCAGCCCTCGAACCAGATTTAAAGTCAATCACTTCCAAACCAACCAACTCTCCTGCAGCTCTGTTCCAGCACCTAGCCCGACGCTTTGTCCATGACCTTTTGATCTCAACCATAAACGACATCCTTGAATTTCTACACCTGCTGCTAGGAGTACATAACCTTTGGGTTCTTATAAGCGCATCGGTCTGACGAAGAAGAGAGTCGCACGAAAGACAGACGAAAGCCGCACAAGAAAGTCGCACTTTGTCGAAGACGAAAGCGGAGAAAAACAACCCCTAAACCTAGAGGAGATAGCCGCCTAGAGAGAGAAGCTCTCAGTTATATGGATACTATCCTTCATAATATCCTTCAATAAATCATAACCACTCCTTATAATTAAAAGTCGGATTTGCAAACCCCGTTTCAATAAAACTCGGAATTGCAATCTCCTTTAGCAAAATCATCCACAAACAGAATTGCCTTATTTTGGAATGCAAAAAACTTCAGATGTCTAAGGCTATAAGCCAGCGAAGAAATTGCTCCTGTTTTTTAGGTACATCGTGAAAGAAAGAAAGATAACAATGCAATCCAAATGAAAAAACAAAACAAAGCTATTATGGTCTAACAAATTCTAGACAATTGTCATCCTCCCAAAGTCTCAAAGTATGTGTTCAATTCTCTCGAGAGGGGCATTAAGGATTATAAGCCCTCGGCGAGCCGAGTGAGTCATGTTGGCTAGAAAATCTGCACATCTATTACCTTTTCGTAGGGTGTGTTGCGGAGTGAGTTCATGACAATTTGATCTTGAGAAGGACTCATAACCCGTTATGCTTCTTGCTCGAACTATGGCCCGAAAGTTACACTCCTAAACTTTTTTATGACAATTCTCGAGGACTCATATCCTCTTATGCTTCTATCTCGGACTGTGGGCCGAATGTTACCTCCTATTTTTTTTTAATGTAAGAGGTTTATATCAAGTCTGAGAACATGCAAACATAGATCGAGACAAATAATCAAGACTTGATTACAAGCTGCAACCACTTGAACATAGTTCGCCTCACTTTGATCTTTATTTATGAATTTCATATGCCTATGTGTATTATCGGCACTAGATATAACTAGTGGCTTTTGACAATGAGGGTGTTGATCATAAACAACGTCAGTGTATGTTTCGAAAGAACGTGGGCTCTCTAGAAAACCTTAGAGCTTTTCTCCCTAAGTATTTTAGGGTTTGTTCGCTACTAGTTTTGGTTTCTTGTGCTATCGGCAATCCATTCAGTGCAACTTCATTGAGTATATTCTTGCCTTGGATACAGAAGAGTTAGATAATAAGTGTGCTGGGCTTCTAATAGTGGATGGCGATGTTGCGATTGATTTACTGGAGCAATCTCAGACAAACATAGTTGATGACACCGAACGCACGTCATGGTCTATGGTTGGACGATTCCTTACTGATAAACCTATAAAGTTCGACACTGTGCTGCAAGTTATGGCTTCAGTTTGGAGGCCCTCACGAGGAGGTGATGCTACAAAATTACAAGACAATCCCTTTCAGTTTGACTTCTATCATGAGAAAGAACATCTTCGTGTGTTGGAAGATGGTCCTTGGGCGTTTGAGAATAATATGTTAGTGTGTAAGAGATTGGAACATTCATGTATCAAGATCCATTGAATTTTGGTCGTTTGAAGAAAAGCTACTACCGGGTAAGAATTTTGATTAATGTCGCTAAGCCCCTTCAACAAAAGATGAAGATCCGAAAACGTGATGGTTCTATTGCATGGATCACATTCATATACGAGCATCTACATACTTTTTGCTTCTTCTGCGGGATTATGGGACACCAAGTATGCTACTGTTTCAAAATCCTGAGTGTTGACATTACTCCTGATGAATATTGCTATGGGCCATGGCTAAGGGCCAATCTACGCCAAAATGTTCCCACAATTGGAAACAGATGGATAGGGAGACAACCACCTCCGGTCAAGGATGAGAATATAGGAGATTTCAGGAGATTCAGTGGATACTGATACGGCCATAACTATGGATCACAAACGCAAATGTACTAGTAAGGAAGGGTCACCCTCAGTGGTAATGATGGATTTGAATATGTTGAGATCTCCAAAAAACTTGAATGTGGCGGGAGCTGGTCCCCTGCCCCGCCCGAACCAATGAGTACATTAAGTTGAAACTCTCGCGGTTTGGGTGGCCCGCGAACAGTCCACGAAGTGGTGGATCTAGCTACCCTTAAACGACCTGATTTTATTTTTTTTATGGAGACAAAGTAAAATTGAGAAGTCTTGGAACGTGTGAGAATAAAACTTGGATTTGAAGGCTTATTTTGTGTACCACAAATAGGGATGAGCGGATGACTTGCACTTCTTTGGAAACAGAAGGATGTGGCTACGCTCATCAGTTATTCACGAAATCATGTGGATATAATGAGGAGCACCTAAATGGAGACTAACTGGATTCTATGGTTTTCTAGACCATTCAAGGAAACAGGAGTCCTGGGATCTTTTGAGGACTTTAAAAGGGAAATTCGATCTCCCTTGGGCTATCATTGGAGATTTCAATGATATAACATGCCAAGTGGATAAGAGGGGACCTCATCCTCAACCAACATCTTATATTGATGGATTTAATTCTGTCTTAGAAGACTGTGAAGTCCACGATGTATACGCAGTGGGTAGAAGGTACACTTCGGAGCGGGGTAAAGGCACTGATAGATGGGTTGAGATCAAACTGGATCGAGCAGTGGCCTCAGCTAGCTGGAATCAAATTTTTGACCATGCCAAAGTTTTGAACTTAGAAACCCTGAACTCATATCATTCGTCTTTGTTCTTGGATCTACGAGGTGTTTTCCCTGGACGCTTTGTTCGATAGTTCAGATTTGAAAATGCATGGCTGCTTGATGAGAGTTGCCATGAGATTGTGAATACAACTTGGAATCCATCTGCGGGACAACGTTTTGTGACTAGGTTGGAAGGATTGGGACGTGACTTAATGCGGTGGGGAGGTGATAAAAACCACTTGTTTTAAAAAAGAATTCAGAAACTAAGGAAGGATTTGAATGCTCTTAGATCCAGGCGTGATGCAGATTCCTTAGCAAAGTTTAGGGAGCTAAATGCAATACTTGAAGACTTACTACAGAAGGAGGAAGTGTACTAGCTAGGGCTGGGTTCGGTTTGGGACCCGAACCGATTTGTCGGTTTGTAGAACCGAACCGATTTTTCGGTTTTGGGGATAATGGAAACCGGAACCGAACCGATATAGATTTGGGAACCGATTTTTTGGGAACCGAATTATCGGTTCGGTTTGACTGGGACCCGAATATATTTTCTTTAATATACAAAGTAAGACCTGTAAAAATTTATTCCTACTGAACTACATTTTTTAAGCAAAGACAATAGAGAATCATATGAAGAAGACTATAATCAAATACTGAATCACTAGGCTAACTAAAAAATTAACACACAATTTTAATATCGATCATTCACCAACAATAATAAAATCCAACAGTCTATTTCAAAACAAATCCAACATTCAACACAATAAAGTGATAAACATCTAATCCTTTAACATCCCATAATTTGGGGACAAATCAAAACTAAATTCAAAAGTAGACACATTGAGTTTAATTTAAAAGGACAATGTTCAAGAACATCCAAATCAACTAACGAAGAACTTCAAAGTTGAGAGCATGTGTACAGTGTACTGCCATTAATCATCCTGCATTTGACATGTAAATAAAAAATATTAATAATTAATATATTGGACTGCCATACGCCCATACATGTAATAATTTAGAGTTAGTTAGAGGACAATATATCATAAATAAGAGTTAATATATTGGATTGTCATACTATTCCGATCATACTATATATATTACATTGTAACATAAAATAAAAAACTAACGGGAATGAAAATATGAAAAAAAAACCTTCATCAAGTTGTCATGGATGATTAGATGATGCAATACTTCTCCCACGTTTTCTTGTGCTTGATGGAGCCCCTCTTGAACCTACACGTGAACTTGGTGGGAGTTGGCTTTGAACTTGAGAGTGTGATGGTGGGATGGTAATGCTATATTTCTTTGAAGAGATGGTGGCACTTGCACTACATTAGGCATACCTATATTAATAGTTTTGGACTTTTAATAACAACAACAAATACAATAACAACAACAACAATAATAATAATAGTAATTAATATTAGTTATAAATTACTCAAGAAAGTTAGCCGCTTACTTTGCTCTAATTCTTCAAGTTTCATAGCTGCTTGAACGAATGAATCAAGCATAATCGACTAATTATAATCGACTAGGTAGGTAAATATTACTTACCTGCAATTTAGAACGGAGATGGAAGCCGGAGCGATGGTAGACGGCAGAGCACAACTGATAATCGACGCCTTCCGCAACGGTTTTGCACTTCTG